GGGAATTTAATTTATTACAACTATGTGAATAAATTATTTGAATGAATGAATGAAATACTCATTCATTAATATTTTATTAAGTCTAGTCATTTTATCTGTTTAGTACAGGCATGTAACTTCTAAACTTCTTCAAACAAACTAAAAAAAACTATGAGGTTTTCGAAAAAGTCACTATATAGCATCTTATTTGAAATGCGAATTCTCACATACACTCGGACCACCTTCATAAATTATCGATATTGTTATATGTATTTCGTATGTGTGTATCGATGCAAGAATATGACATATACCTGCTAAAGACACAATGGAAAGGTACAGTGGTTACGAAGTGGAATCCACCTGCCTGACCTGACTTTACACCTTCGTTTGTACGAGTACTCGATACGTATGATACGTACAGAAACTCGATAAGAAATACATGACTTGGCATGGGTCGTATTCTAGAATTCTACTCAATGCTCAAATCAGGACTTGAGTATTGCAGTGAGCACAGAAAATCATACTCAAGTTCTTGCCATTAGGGTCGTATTTCCAGTGCTTGAAATCATACTCAAGTCTGCTCAAGTCCTGACTTGAGTATTGAGTAGAGTTCTGGAATACGGCCCTATGACATTAATATCCCTCTCCTCCAATTTACTTCCCGCGCAACCCTAGCGGGGCGCGGGGTTGTGATGCTCGTGCACAAAAAATATATCTCGTTACCGTATCTACCTTTTGTTGCACCTCCATCGATGTGCGCTTCTGTGGGGGTGCGATGGATGTGGCATTCTTCTGTTTTACTCGTGAGAAAAGTTGACGTTGTACGTGCTTGTATTAGTTAATTACACGTAGTTGAATTCCTTTGAAGATACTTGTTACTTAACGCAATTTGGTAGTTGAGAAACTTGTGCTTCAGTGTGTGCATTGTTGTAAAGTATCAACGTTGAACTTCGTGTGTTAATAAAAGAACAATAAGATTCTTTGGAAAACTCGTGAGTAATCATTATTGTCATTTTGTTTCATAAAAGTAGGTACGCCATGTCCAATAAATCCGTCAATAGTATTCCTATGATAACGCCATCGAAGCACTTTCGTTTTTATGCGCCTGAGTCGCCATCTAAATTGAAGGCTCGTTTTTTCCACTTACCCCAAAGCCATAGTCCATTTATCTAGCAGTCATGATTCCTTGCATTGTACCTGTACGCATGGCTATAAAAAAACTCTCGAAAAAATACAAAAAGGATATTTTTTTTATTTTATTAGAAGGTTGGTGGCTGGGTATTGTTATTTGCGGACGGGCGAGGCGATGGCGGCCATATTTTTTTGTTTTTAAGTTTAACCTTTGTCGGTTGCGCAATGCCACTAAAATACTAATATCTGTAAACGGCTCTTTGTTTCATTTACGACGGCTTGGCTAGTCGTAAAATGAGATCTCGTTAAAGGTTTTTGGGAGCAAATAAATTAAATACATTCTCCGAAATGTTATGATATGCATACCTATAGGCACAACTAACGTTAAGTTGGTGTGTCTGTTTACATTTTTTAGTTATTCTTTGTTACCGACTCTTTGTATACAGTGGCTGTATAAATCTCTGCATTTGATAATCTGCTACTATCTTTAATTTTTAACATCTCTTCGATAAAGTAACCCGTTAAAAATGAGCCTATTTCAAATAATGCAGTAATCGTCGAGTTGTCATATTGGTCTAGATAGAGTTGAATAGAACGACATTCCTGCAGCAATAACTGGCGACAGTGGCGGAGAGAGGGTACAGTTAGGAAATGTTCATAAAAGTCAAGAATATTAAGCGCGGCTGCGCCTACGCAGCGGGGGACCATTGCGGGAGGGAGGGATTTCGTGTGCGACTTATCACAATAATGTATAAAAAAGGCGTAATGTATTGACGTTGATTTTGTGTCTGTGTAATTTTATGGTTTTACACATGAAATCACAAGTCGTGATTTTCAACTGACTACTGGATTATTCATATCATTAGCTTAAGTGACAGTGATAGTGTCATACTTGTAGCAGTTAATTGATGAATTAAAAAAAAATCACATTCAGGTCATTTTGATTTTTCGAGAACTTACCCCCCATACAACATTTCCATATTCACCAAATCCGGAATGCTTATTGTCTTGTCCAGCTTCCACGGATGACCAGTGAACTGCTTTGCAGCTAGTCAGCAGACTGACTAGACGGACAGAGATACAAAATTAGACCGAACTTCTTTTAGACAAAATATTTTTATTAAATGAACGACGACACAAATATATAACTTAATTGTACAATGTGTAAATCACAAAGTTCCTAAAATTAAGTGTAAGGATATTTGTGTCTAAATTAAAAGTTCTCTGGATCGATAAAGCAGCTCTATTATGGGCACCGGTCTGACGTAGGTATAAGTTAAAAATAGTGTATTTAAGCGGCGATGGGCAACTGCGCAAGTGTCGTCGCCATAAATAACAATATTCAAATCGCGATACCGATTCTGTATCGCAATTAACACAATACCGGTTCCTCGTAGTGACGCGCCCCTCATTCACAAACTCGGTTATCGATACACTTATACGCGTGGATGACGTAGACAGGAAGGATGGAGCGTGATGATTCAATCTTCGGATTATCTAATTTGATAGCCGTCTTAAAAATACAGTTTTCAGTTTATTCTATTCTTTAGAGCGTCATTGTTGGAAATTTTCCACATATTAGATATAATGAACTACAGAGCTATAAAGCATAGAAGTAAATGCTTGGCTATATTTACAGCCAGTGACTCGTACCATCGTTGTTTGTTGTTAAATATTCAAACCTAAAATGTACGACCACATGAATGCCAAGCTTTCTGTGCGTTTCACTGTACAAAATTGCACATTCTAATAGCTAAAGAGCAAATAAAAATTTGTGAGGCATCGCAATAAATGTAAACACAATTGACTACTGTTACTTTTTAATAAATTATTTAGTAATGGTTGTAAATTATATTTACATCGACATTGCCACATCACTATCGCCTCACAAAAATGGTTTTTATTCGCTCTCTAGCTAATACGCGCAATGAATCTTTGTACATACGACCTCGTATGGCGCGCAATAATGGCCCGAACATTTTTATGCTATGGTAATGACCGCATGGGTTCGGCCCAAGGTGTTTACGCAGATTTATATATTTAATGTTTGTGTGTAACAGAAACTTGTTTCATAGTGTCATCGTCTCTAGTTTTTGATAATTATATGTACTTGTTTAGCTGGTAATGAACATTTTTTGTTTTTAAGACTTTTAAAGGATGAACTATTTGTTTGTGTCAGATTGTATTGTTAAAGTTACTATTGTTAACTTACAAGGATAATAATTTTTTTTGTAAGTCAGTCAGAAAACATCTGTGATCTAAGCATCCTTCCAAGCTACTCGTGACCAGCTATGGAACTTATGTGTTTGTTACAGACACAAAAACCTTTTAAGGAGTTACTAATAAAAGATGGAATTTTGCGGTACCTTCAAAAGTTTTAACTTGGTATCAGAATTTGTACCTTTAAAACGAACAAATGTTAAATTTTCGATTAAATTTGTTTTCTAAGAATCACGATCGATTTATTAAATCGCGACATTCCAACGATGTACTTTAAAAGAATTAGAGTTGCTATTAACATTTGAGATTATATCAAAAACAGATACTAGGTACCTAGCACCGCAATGGCCTGCTCACCGCCCACACGGGAAACCATTAAAACTCCGGAAACGTTCGGTATTTTGAATTCGTGTGAATCACATTATTGCCATACTCGTGGTCGGATTTGAGACTCGTGACTTCGCCAAATTATCGGAATCTAATAATTGTCAGGTTCATCGATCGGTATTTAAAATATCTATAAATATGTTGTTGACGTTTTCCCTATCTATTTGATATTTCCCTATTTATTTGAACTTGTTCTAAGACTTATTCAGTGATGGGGATTTTTAACTAATTTGACAGATGTTAAAATATTGTCGCCTTTTCCCTCTCATTTAGACTATATTTTCTTGTCTGTTATATTAGTTTAAATTTAGAAGAAACACGGGTTTGATAACAATGTTCCTGTTAAATTAAAACATAAACCTTCATCGTTTTTATTGAAGTAAGTTATAAATACATTTCTTCATGTGCAACAATATTATAAAATGCTCGTAAAATCATATCGAATATTGTACTGTATTTTCATAATGTTGTTATTGGCGTTAAATTCTACAGACGTAACATGAGAGCGCAGAAGTTTGTTCAATCTGCTACAATTTCTTATTTACTACTGTCTTTTTATTTATTCTTCTCTTTCCGACTTCTGCTCTCTTTGCTAGTTGTAAGTCGCTAGATATAGCCGCTTCTAGACGCTACATGATCACACGTCAGCGCTTCTGCTGGCATCGCAATTTTAGCATGTACACCCTACCACTTATCTATACATTGTGTACTTCCCTGTTCTAATTCACCACTGACCTATCCTTTGTACCTCATGTAGTTCACTCAATAGATTTGTACCACACTGCAAGTAAAATTTATGTACGTTGTTTTACACGCCCCCATTTTGTTTTTGTATTTTCTTTATTTATCTCTATGCATTGACACCTTTCTTGTATAACCTTTGACCTTAATTCCACTTCCCAATTAATAAAACCCCACCAATGTGAAGTACACCCTACTTTAAACCTGGGTAAGCATTTAGAACGTAGATCGTAGACCCTAGAATGCAACCTAGTCCTAGAATTAGAAAAGAACTTGTAGAAAGATAGACTTCCAATTAGCCTCAACTGCTTGACAAAGGAAGAATACTTAGCAGAATTCAAATTTGTCTTAAATAAAAAGCAACTGATGCTGGAGACAATTTTGATACATTTTCGTCCTAAAGTTTACGTAGCCTTACCTACAGCATGGAACCCAGTTGTACCATAGTCCCATAGAAGTCGGTGATGCGGTGGCAGAAGAAGCGCGGGAGTGTGATCGTGGCACGAGGAGAGGCGGCGGGACTAGCATGACGTAATGTGCAGGGTGTGGCGGGGGCGGTGGGAGGTGTGCGGGCGCGAGTCGCGCGGATGTCGGCGGGCAGCGCAAGCACAGCAGCCGTGGGGGGAGCGGCGTTTGGCCGCGGCGCGCTCTCCGACCCCGACCTACAATCGCGGCTGCAGCCCGACCTGAACGCGTACTGGGTTCGTACTTAGCACCCCTTAGTCTATTCCTAATTAGAGCCATTTTGTAACATCACTAAAGGGCGACTAAACCTACCTCAAAATTGTAATTGGGAGTGTCACATGTTCTTTCGATACTATTACGTTACATGTACTTGAATTTCGCCTTTTAGTGAGCGTTGTAATGGTAAACCTCAAAATTGATTGTATTCAGCAGCTCTGTTTTTGAATTGCTTGTCACACACCACACAATATTTTCTGAAAAAGATGCTTTATTGAGAAAGACACTTGGAAAATGTTGATGTGTTATTTTATCATTATATTTACAGAAATAGATCTAGTGTTCCGATGTTCCAATCTTCAAACTACTATAAAAAGCGTCTAAATAGTTTTCTTAAAATGTGAAAACGTTTCGAGGATCGATTACATGGTTCATATTCGGCCTGTTAAATATGTGTTAATACTCTCGGTGAAGCTACGCCGTGTGGACAGGCCTTACACACAAATTTCTGTTACCTGGTTAAATTTTAGAGCATCGCTTGCGTTAGCGCTGTCTTGCTCTTCCTATGCTTAACTTGACACTGCTTGCGTGAGAAAACGTTAGAATGTTGATTTAGCTTAGACTTTTTATCTGGATTTCATTATTTAGATAGAATTGGTTCTGTAGAGACCTTTTTTGTATGTAAGTATTGTATCTCGCCTGATGGTAAGTGAAAATGTGGGCTGGGATAGTACACGCCTCGCCTATACGATACTGTTCCGTATGACAAAAACTACACAGCATGGCCGTTTCTATTCTTAGCCGTTGGTTTGTGCGAGTTGATGGAATATTTACAATATAAATGTGAAATTCGGCACCGCGTCTGATTAACCCGTGACGAAAAGGTGCGGTTGGGATTAAATAATGTAATACCTGAGTACACTTCCCGAAATGTATCCAATAATCAAATAAATTGTATGTGACACGTTCCAGACGGGGGTAAATATTATTTCTTCCATTTTACTTTGTACACAATAATTTTGGTTTCGTTTATTGCAATGAGTAGAGCATTGTGCTACAAAGATTTTGTTCAAATCTTTGTAATATTGTTCTACCGAACGTTGATAGTGCTGGAAAAAAAATTTTGAGTTAAAATTTTCCCTGTCGTACTTATTTTGGCCTGTTGAAAACTTGCTTGAAGACAATTTGATGGTTTGAATTTACGCCATGTGATTATAGAAGTTCTTTAAAAATGTAAACATTAGAAAAATAATATTAATATAAACATCCTACAGTGCTATCGTCCTTACATCTGATCAGGTTCTGCCTATGGGTTTTCGAGCTCTGATGCATGAAGTTGACGCTGAGGCCGCCAGCTACGCACCCCCATATCATAAAAAATATAAATATTTTAATCAAACAAATATCTTAAACAAGCGATCTGCAACAAGCACACATAAAAAATCGTACGGTCCGCTAGTTCGTTCTGTGGCTTAGCTGGCATAGCGTTTGGCACAGTTTGCTGGAAGACGTTGGTTCGAATCCAGCCGTATCGAAGGATTTTATTTCAAGTGTTGTGAAATTACTCCACTAGTTTGTTATAATTATTAATACAAAGATCGAACACACAGAAAAAACACTCAGAAAAAATACCTTCGATCCGGTCGGATTCGAACCGACGTCTTCTTGCATACCGTGCCAGACGCTATACCAACTAAGCCACGGTATATTTGTTTTTGCAAACAAACCGACCATGTCAACCGTGACCATGCGACCTGTAAAGGGATGAAACGTCGGTTTGTTTGAAATAACAAGTATACGCGATTTAAATCCGGAAAAATAGTTTAATTTCCTATGTGTAACAATCGCGAAAACCTAAGAACTCGATGACAATGATAACATTATTCCGAAACTCTTCAAGAACGATTTCTAAATATATGACTAACATCCCAATCCGTGTCACCAAGTACAGATTGACCAAATTTCGACCTCGTCCGGCTGTCTAAATGTACATAAAAGTCGTTCTGTCTGTCCGTCGACTTATTTATCGCGCATAGCGCAGATACCGCTCCCAGTACACATACAAACGGACATACATAGAAACACACGGATGGGCATAAGTAATAATATTACCTCTATATTGAGAACACTTTAATAAAAATCACTGACATTGTTTATGCTAGAGTACCGGCGGGACTACGGTTCTCAAACTATTTTTTTTAAGTCTTTTTCTTTTTTTTAACGATAAGCTTCATAAATCTCTCACATTTGTTGCTTACGGAGAAAAAACTCAATACAAAAGATCTATAACATGCAATAGAGAATCTTAGTATAGAGTAGAGTATCTTAGCGATTGTTACACATAGGAAATGAAATTATTTTTCCGGACTTAAATCGCGTATATGTTTTTCAAGCAAACCAACGTTTCGGGCCTTATACAGGTCTCATGGTCACGGTTGAGTGAGTGACTCAATCAATCCGGAAAAATAGTTTCATTTCCTAAACAATATTTCATAAACAATAGAGAAATTCGTAACGTCACACTTCTTTTGTATTAGGCAGTTTTTATACTGGTTTATTTACAAGTATTTATTATAAAATAACAGATGCGCGATGTTACCATTAGGGATTTAAAAAGATAATTGTTACAGGCGTTTCAACGCATGCAAAATTAAATACGAAATTAAAAAAAAAATTATAATGTGTTTTGAAAATAATTTCGATATTGATTCCCTTTATCGGTACATCGTAAATGTATCTAGTTGCGGGTATCCGTGTGATATCGAACTACACTCATTTAGTTGTCCACAAAAGCTGTAGATGTAAGTATGATATTTTATTTTTACTATTATAGCTTTTCAAGTAATTACATACTTAAAGTTACCGTACACAAAACAAATATATAGCTTATTACATAATCACCTTGAAACATTCAGTGATTTTAATTAACAGATTAGTTATTTTATCATTGTAAACAGTTGTAGTGACATACAGAAAACTTTGAAATAAACCGTGATATAATATTATTAAAACATTTGTAATTTCTGGTTATATTCCTGGAAATTTGTATTGAAACGGTCTGCTCACTCTGCTACAAAGAAATTTGGTCAAGGCTATTGTAGACACTCGCTACGAAAGTGCTACGCTTTCGCTCGTAGCATTAGTTCCTTCTTAAAAAACGGTATAAAGTACAGTTTGAGCGCCACTGTCGTCTATCCGAAACTCTCGTGTTTTATGGCGCATTATACTATAATAATATTTTTTACTTAGCACATTTGTTTATACATTTATCGACGTGTGTGTGAGAGTGCGTACGTGTGCGGTGCGCCCGCGCAGGCCGTTCACTTAAACATATAAAAATGTCGTTTGTTGTACCGCGGAATCTAATAGCCAACCGAATTTTATGTTCCTTCGCGGTAACAGATTGTGTTACACGTATTCTTTGTGGCTGTGCCAAGATGGCGGCCGTTTATGGCCGGCCAATTAGAGTCTGCGCAATCGCAGCCTTTTGTTGTAATGATTTATGTCTATGAGCTTTTGCCCAAACCCGCAATAGCAATTTATTTTTTTAATTTCAAACTAGTAATAATGTTTGCGTTAGATATTGTTATTGGAGTTTAATTAATTCTCAGAGTTTTTTTATCAGATTGTTATCCATCATAATGGGTATCAACGTTAAAATATTTTTCACTTAATTTTAAATTACTAATACATGTTAGTTTTCTTTCCCTTTAATCAAAATAAATCAAATAAAAACTCAATTGTAGAAAGATCAATAAACTGACCAAATACGACTTCCAATATTTATCTAATATGGGGTCCCTTATAAAATTAGAGAGTAAAAGCTCCAGCGGCCATAGATGGTAGACAGATAGGTCGCAGGCGTAAGCATTACACGGGTGCGTATGCGCAACCGTACGTAAATCACACAGGTTTAATTGGAGGACCACACGCGACGCGCCCTGGGCGCTAATGAGTAGTAAGTATTTACTGTTTCGGGATAGAGGAAAAAATAGCCTCTTGGATATCGTTGACTATTTTTGGTGCTTATTCCTTTCACTTCGTGTGTAGATTAATACGATTGCGATTTATAGGCGATTGCATCGATGCAAATGCGCGACTGCCGAGTACAAAAGAACAAAGGAAACAAGGTATGTAATAATGATCGCTAAACTTAACTCCGAGTGGGCTGATGATTAACAGAAATTTAGCGGCGAAGAGCGTTTCAATAGAGAATATCAAAAAGAACCCAAAAGAAGACCACAAATAAGATAATAAGATGACACCAAAGAGTCAGCGGTCTTGTAAATATATAGATAGAGGTCTGTACCGAATAATTTATTGCGAATGGCTGCAGAAGAACAAATCCTTATCATAACTAATTTAATTGATATTTTTAGTGAAATTGAGTTATTAACTTATCTGGGATCAGCAAAGCGACATCTACAACCCCCTCTAATCGGTTTTTTTTATATCTTATTTAGTTACAGTTTTATTATTATTAATACGAAGATCGAACACTTAGAAAAAATTCCTTCGATCCGGCTGGATTCGAACCAACATCTTCTCGCAAACCGTGTCAAACGCTATGTCAATTAAGCCACGGAACGAACCATTTTTTAACGACTTTTTTGCCGCCCAAAGTGGGGCGCGAACCCACGACCCTGAGATTAAGAGTCTCATGCTCTACCGACTGAGCTAGCCGGGTCGCTGGCGCTGGTATCGGTGTTTTACCGCGCCTCCCCTTCTTGCGTCTCCGACAATCCTATCGAAAATGCAACGTAGCCTGCCATAGATTTAACCAAGTTTTCTATGGTAAATCATGGTGTTTAATTCTTAATAATTTATTATTATTTAAAAAAGGATATATTTGTTGCAGATAATATTTGTGTTAATTTTGAATAATGTTAAATTTGAAAAAGCGATTTATCCTAAAATAAATTGAACAACGTTGTAACGTTCCGTTACAATCTGTGAGAAATTTATTCTTCACTCAGCCAGGTACCTTTACAGCTACCATCAGTTGACTAGAGATGTCGCTTTAATAATTGTCATAAAATTTTATTGAATGTCAGGATTTGTCGTTCGTGTTAATAATTATAACAAACTACAGAAATTTCACAAAAACCAATTGAATATCATGATGGTGAAACATTCTGACATTCAATAAAACTTAATTTAAGTTTTATTAGTTAAATTTTTTTATTGAATTGATATTCAATTATTTTTTGTGAAATTGCTCCACTAGTTCGTTATAATTATTAATACAAAGATCGAACACGCAGAAAAAACACTCAGAAAAAATTCCTTCGATCCAGTCGGATTCGAACCGACGTCTTCTTGCATACCGTGCCAGACGCTATACCAACTAAGCCATGGAACGAACGCGTCGTTAATGCGTCGTGTCTTTGTACTTGGTTTTTCAACGACTTTTTAGTCGTAGCGCCATTTATGACAAAAGTTAAGTTAAGTTTTATTGTTAAGCAAAATCAGCGTCATTGACATTTTTTATAATCTCGGTATAGAGTACTAAAAAGACCGACCTCAAAACTTCGTGGAATTACATCTATTTGCCAAGTTTTATTGAAATCCGTTACCGAAAAGTGCACGAATCCGGATTCAATTCCGAGTTTGCCACCCTTAGAGATGAAGTATTTTCTTCAAATTTGAATTGGACCAATATTGAGGTACCCTCATTCCAACAAAAAAATAGAATCATCAAAATCAGTTCACAAATTGTTATCGCGTAACATACATACAACAAAAAAAACACAGCCGAATTGCGAATCTTTTCCTTTTTTGGAGTCGGTTAATTAGCAAAAATAAACTTTAGGTGCCAATGTCTCGGCAGTTACTGAAATGCGTTAGTTATGACAATATGGGCAGAAATCGAATGTGAAAGATATTGACTTTTTTCAATGCGACCTTATTATGTTTCTGTTTGACTGGATATTTTATTATTGTGTGCTAATAAACGTGTAAATGGCCATATATGTATTATATACTCACGGACACATAATTCGAGCTACCTCGCATTTTTGTCGTAAATGGCTCGCATACAAAAATAGTGTTATCAGCGAAGAAAAAGTTTTCCCCGGATTTGCAAGTCCAAATTAAAATAAAAATTAAATTAGTTTCAAAATTGCATAATAGTTTTTGATCAATCAAACATTGTTTAAGCGTCGGGCACTTAATACTGAAAATGCGTAGTGACTCGAATTATGTGTCCGGAAGTGTATAATACAGTAGTTGTTTTAAATGCTATTGCAATATTTTTTTATAATACCAAGTAACGATGACGAACAAGTCATGCGCCTGGTGGTAAGTGACACGCCTACCCATAACAGTTGCAGTGCCACTCAGAGTTTTAAATCGCAAAGATCTGAGGGTCACTGCCACTGCGCCCGTAACCCTGAGGCATAAGTTGACAAGTCCCATGCGCCTGTAATTTCATCAGCACCCACACCCTCGAAACTGGAACACAGTAATGCTTACATTATTGCTTGGGGGCAGAAATGAATAAGGTGGCAGTACTTCCCTGGACGAACTCTATCACAAGGAGCTCTACTGCTTACAAAACTCTTGGCGTAATAAGCCACATCTCTAAAATTACAACTTTTCAGGACGGTTGGTTAGATTACGACATAAATTAGTCAATAAACTTTTAATGCCCGATAAAATTACACATGTACGTAATTAGTTTTATGGAGTTCGTATTACGTTCATGACTTTTATGCGTATGATCACATGTGACTTTATTATACGAATGTTTTTAACGATATCACTAGTTTTAATATAGACACTCTGGATACTGTCAACGATAAAAAAAATCATTACGAAAACTTTGCATGTAAAAGTAAGAAAAAAACACATTTATTATTGCTTCCATCAAAAACGGGGATATAAGTTCTCTAGCTCGAAGGTTTGATAGGCCTGAAGTCGGCAATAAAATTAGTTTGTTATTGGTATTAAAGATTATTTTGATGGATTCAATGAGAACGCAAACAACCGATATGGTAGATACTATCTTTTTATTGATTGGACATTAGATTTTTAGATAGGAAATAAAGACATTTTGCATAACTATCCAGTGTTGAACTGCCACTGCGCCCGTCACCCGGAGGTGTAAGTTGAGAGTTCGTCCAGGGAAGTACTGCCACCTTATCTATTTCTGCCACCAAGCAGTAATGTTAGCATTACGGTTTTGAAAGGTGGTGGAAAAATTACAGGCACACGGGACTTGTCAACTTATGTCTCAGAGTGACGGGCGCAGTGGCAGTGCCACTCAATCTTTGCGATTTGAAGCTCTAAGTGGCACTGTAACTCTTGTGGACAGGCGTGTAGCTTACCATCAGGCGCACGATCTGTTCGTCCCGTCACTTGATATTATTTAATGGCTCTTAAGACCTCAAATAGTTTTGGTTGATTCCCCATAATAGCGAAAGTGTGGAATCAAACACTTTGAAAAAAGTATGTATCGAGTTCTTAGGTTTTCGCGATTGTTACACATAGGAAATGAAACTATTTTTCCGGATTTAAATCGCGTATATTTGTTTTTTCAAACAAATCGACGTTTCGGGCCCTTTACAGGTCCCATGGTCACGGTTGACTGAGGTGGTACAGTCTTCAACCAGTTATGTCTAATATTAATGCAAACCACCCTATTTTTTCACTATAGTTACAATAGTTATTAATTAAATACCTTATTTTTAATTTTACAAAGAAAACATTCCAATTTACGCTACATTAAGTTTTACAAATTATTTTATTGAATGAATTTTTATTAAGTTTAATTTATTATTAATTATTAATAGAAATTAAAATAAACTAAAACATATTAATTAGTACTGCAGTCTTATGTCTGTTTGGGATTTTTCATTAGAGGAAATACTGGATCCCAAACTGGTGGTACGGAGAAACCATCTTCCCTGTTGAAATTAGGATGTTTTTTAATTTCAATGGCCTCTCGCAGCATCCTGGGTAGATAACGGACTTCTTTTGCAAGGACCTGGGGTTTGTCAAACTTCATTGAATGTGTAGGTTTATCCATGACATGCTCGCAGACTGCAGACTTGTTTACGCGACGGTGTTTGACATCAGCTATATGTTCTTTGACGCGGGTACAAATACTTCGCTTTGTTTGTCCAATATAAGAGAGACCGCACTCACAGTCAAGCTTGTAAACTCCTGCATCCTGTAAGGGGATGTTACATTTCACGGGTCTCAGGAACTGAGAAATCTTCCTCAGGGGCTTGAAATAGGTCTTTATAGATGCACGCCTGAGGACTCTTCCGATCTTGTCTGTAACACCTCTCACGTAAGGTAATTTGGCAGGTCTTCGCTCGACTGTTGGTGGTTTCACACGGTAAAATTTAAAGTAGTAAAATTTGTGTGAAAACACGATTCCTAAACATTTTCACGACAGGAAAAAAAACACATTCAATAGGTACTTTACATTTACAAATTTTTTATATGAACTGAACTAAATATAACACGTATATTATACGATCTACATTTCTCAAAAGGGTTTAACTTCGTTTGTAAAAAAATGAACTCTGAAATAAAGGCAGTGTACCAGCCGCTTGACCCAAACAAAATGAGCCGTATTAGTACCGGAAAAATTTTAATGTCGACTCTTAAGTATTAAATTCACTATCAATTTGAATGCAGTTAGAAAGTAGTTTTCACGGCTACGCAGACTTACACCGGACATTTGGTAGGTGTAATGCAGTAGCGCCGACTACGTCGCAACTGATTGCATGCAGTTAGAATTGACAGTAGCACATTTTTTTTTGTTGCCGTCTATATGAGATACTTCCTGAATAAAAACCGATATTGTTTGATGAATTAATTAGTGTTTTTCTGAGTTTAATGGCCTTGGGTGCGTGCTATTTACAGATGCTTTTCTCATTATTATAAGTTATTGTTAAATATATTTTACATATTAAAATATATCCTGTATTTACTTTTCCATAAACAGTTTTTACATAATTAACAGTTTATTACATAACTAAATTACAAGTTGTACATAATAATTGAAAACACAAATTCAAATAAGTTTAGTATCGGTTTTTCACTTCACTGGTCGTGACGTCAGACCGACCACTGGCGTTTAAGCTTTTTCGAAATGAGTCGGTTTAAATTGTTGAATTTAATTATAAAAATAACATTACATTATTCTAAAAAAGATTTTTTGTAGAATTTGATGTAGACTCTGTTTCAGTCATAAAAAATATATATATGAAAAGAAGTTGCTATTGTGTGTTGCAATTAAGATCGTGCAAATACACTCTTGTTAATGTGAAATTAATTACTGAAATTGTACTTTATGTCACTTAATGTAGAAGTGAAATTAGTATTGCCAAACCTGTGTACCATCTTCGAAATTCGCAAAATAAACTTTGAATTTCCATAACATGTCGAGTGGCTGGCACACCGGTTTTCATGGTGTCGCCATATCTTAGGTCCCGGGTTGGATCCCTAACTAACTTTTCTATATTGTCTCGAGTCTAGGTGTTTGTGGTACCGTTATTGTTTCCGATTTCCATAACACAAATGCTTTAGTTACTTTGGGATCAGAGTAACGTATGTCATGTCGTCTAACATTTATAATATTTATTTAATAAAATTCACCACTCCCATTCACAATTTACAACCAAACATGTAAGTTACGGATATAATACAATTCATTCTTATTGGCAGCTATAC